AATGGCATGTACAGGCTTGGAGAGTTACTACCCAGTGGTAGCACTCTTTAAATAATTTTAAGTAAGAAGATCTCCTTTTCAGACGCCTAGGAGGATTATCAGGAATCGAGGAAGAAGCAAGAGTGGAAACAAGCGGATTTGGATGAGACTGAAGTTTATCATGAAAGGATAGATATCTGGCTCGAGCTAAATCAGCGACATATGGTACATTAAGGTCTTTATGAATGGTTTTATTTATGACAAAGTATGGAGCATTAAGGATTTTACGGAAGATTTTGGATTGTAAGGATTGGATACGATAGGAATTCGATGGTTTGGTGGAGCCCCAAAGCTCAACTCCGTATGTCCATATAGGTCTTATTATAGTTATGGAGATAAGTCTTTTGTAATTAATAGAAAGTTTGGAGCGTTTGTCTAGTAAGTGTTGGAGCAGTGGGATAAATAAATTAAAAACACAGTCATACCAATATACAATATATATAATCAGGCAGGGAACCCTTCTCCCTCCAAATATAGAAGAGAAAACGGGACTTCAAGAGATCCCTGCGCTCTCAACCGCGTCACTGCTGCTAAAGCCAGTGGAGTTTGATCGAGAGCGCTTTAGTACGTTTATTAATAATAACGAAAATGTTCGATTGTTGAAAACCATTAATCTCCGAAACTTCTTCACCGAGCTTTGAAATATTGACACAATGTTTCTATCTCATTCAGGAGTGTTTTTATATACATTTAATCACCCTCCGGTCTTTCGTTTCGGAATAGCGGTCCTAAAAACCTGCGTCGCTATAGACTGTAGCACCTAAACGGCTGTGACGATTTTAATTAAACTTGGCTAAAGTCTTCTCCTTGAAGGCCTTTTAATTTATGTACATAATATCATTCCCCGAAAAGAGTATGAAAAAAATTACAATCGGTTCAAAACTATATTTACGAATAGCTCAAAAAGTACACAATTTTTTATTATACCCATCATTATTTGAAAGCTTCTTTGATTCCCTGCAAATCGAAAAAAACATCATTAAAATCAGACGATTTGGTGCAGAGATATATTTGGAGACCGATTGCTTCTTATATAGACAATTATATTTTGCAAATAGAAGAGTTGGAAAACCAGACAATCTCTATATCTTTACTAAGAATGGAACAATAAAGAATATCGCATATTCACAAGTATTATTAAATAAAATATATTAGAAATATTTAATTTATTTTCTACTTCTTTTTTTATTTAACAAGAATGGGACACAGCAAGGCGTGGCCGGGTATGATCAAATAATATAATTTCAAACAAATTAATAATGAAAATACTTAAACTATAATACATTTCTTTTCAGTATCTTGAGCTCAAATTGTATCAAAACATACACGGGATCGATACGAGTAATTACAGCCGGCGAAGTTAAAAATCGATCATGTCGTTCGCTCAAAAAATCTTTAGAATAGAATAGGATAAAAAAATAATTTTACTCTGGGACAAAGTCCCTTTAGAATAACAAAAAAGTACAAAATTAAAATATTATATCTGGCCTAAATAAAAACCAACACAAAAATAAAAAGAAAGGGAAATAATTAAAGAAAGCATTAGTTATCATAACATACTATATACAAAATTTAAAAAAAAAAATCTATATACAAAACACTTGAAACTATGCCAAGACCCTTAAAACTATGTACAGTGGTAAAACATAGCTATAGATTTGAGAAAAAAAAAATAAAAAATACATTAAATTCTTCTTTTAAATAAATTCGGTGTTTCCGTAGAAAAAATAAAGTCGAATCTTACAGTAAGAATTATCTGAGTATTTAAGCAATGAATTATATGTAAATACATCATTCTGAATAATATGTAATTTTTCATAAAAGATTAGTGGATACTGTTTTTGGGACAGGAATTGGAATAGAAGGGTTTTAAATGTAGATAGGGAGCGAGAATGCCGAATTTTGATAGGAAGAGAATTCCAGAAATTAACAGAATAAAGGAGTTTTGGAATGAGGCAGATCTGTGAGAAGGGATGTAAAGGTCGGAAGGTCGAGATCTTGTGGAAAGGGATATTTACATTTTACTAAGTGGATTGATTAAACACATTTCACATAGTAATTTGACAGAATTTTTCACAGAAAGAGTTCTTTCAAAACAGCGTGACATAACATTTAGCGGACGCCTCGAACACATTACCCTCGTGTTGTTTTGCTTTCTATACACTCAGGGGATCTCGCCGAACAATATAATATATAAAATTTAAAGATCGATCCAGCCATTTGCTTACAACAGTTTTACAAAGGTTTTTGCAAATAGATTAAACACATCTTATATAACAACGGGTCAGTATTTTCAACTCAAAGTGTTTCACAGCATTCGGGGGAACACACCGAATAATTTGAGCCATCAAACTTAAAAATCGATACAGCAGTTCGCTTTATAAAAACAAAAGTGTTCATAGCTTTTAGACGACACGGCATATAAGCTTTGTTTCGCTTAGCTTAGTCGGGTAAAAATCATCAAATTTTCATAACCCTTAGGAGGCTAATCAAAATACAACAATATTTTTCATGGTTTATTGATGGTTACTGTAGTATAAAACTAAGCAGGAGTTGGTTGGAGTATTCAGTCAAAATACAAACAAAAATAAATAAATTATATTTATTTTTATTCTCTTTTGTGCAAACGTTTCGGTCAAAGTTTGAGGCATTCATGAAGGCGTTCCGCTCGAAAGACTTGAGACGAATCCTTTTGAATTTGAATGCTTTATCATTCGCCACAAATCTTTGGAGCAATCCTGATAAATCCTTCAAACTTAGGCCGAAACGTCGAGACAAAGGGAATAAAACAATTATAATTTATTTATTTATAGTTTGTATTTTAATTGAATACTCCAATCAACATCTCTTCAATAATATGTATGTTAGTGATGATACGTGCTATCACAAGAAATGTCACTAATCATTTGATATCAGGTGTCGTGGCATTTTATTATTCACAAAAATCGGCCTCGCTAACAAATACAAGGCCCCACCATGATATAAATGAAGTCAAAACATGATATAGCCTTATTGCCAGTTTGGGAGTATCGATTATTAGCTATCGATTCACTTTTTGACTGATACGTTTTTAAATACTTGTTTAAATAGCGCTTACTTTGATATCTCTGAGCTCTCAGAGATATCAAAAACGAAATGATGGATTTACAAGAGCTCATATATTTAAAGGTTTTATTATTTACATGGTTAAATGAATCCAGAATTCCTGCAAGCATATTAGTTCTCATATTCGTCTTATTGATAGGATAAGATCCTGAGTACAGTTCAAGCAACTCAGCCCCAATTCCATCGTTGGTTATTTTTATTTTATATTATTTTTTCGTTGGACCAAGACTCTCACTGAAGTCCTATACTGCATCGTTGGTTTTAATCAATGAATCCAGCACTGAGGGACAACTATTTACGCTAGTTTAGGAACGGTCGGATTTGAATCTGGGATCTTAAGCATTGGAATTCAGTGCCCTACCGCTGAGATACTCCCCTCCTCGAATCCGGCTGATAGTAGATAAATTATTTATCTTGTTTCGTCGGCGTGAATCAATCCTAGAGTCGGGAGAGACTTCTTGAGCTCACATAGCCTCTATAACCCTTAGTTAATTAATTAAATAAGGAGGGAAACCTGGCGGTTGAGAATGATCTCAGTCAAATCACCTACTCGCAAACCGAATAGGATGTATAATTATTTCCAAATAATATACATCTAAAATAACATTACCATCCTAGTTACAAAGAAAGAAAAATAAAAGGTGATTCCAATTATTGGACTAAACTTTTTTTTTCGACATTACTGATGAAGGAGGATCATCCTCGGGTGACCTCTGATTTGATATCCAAATTAGAAAAAAAATCGGTCCAGTAGTTTCGGATAAAATCCGCGGACGGACATACAAATTTATGTATGAGCCCAGCGCTGAATTTAAGATTGCACGGGCATCTTAGTAAGGGCTAAGCTAATAATTTATGTTAAGGTTCATTCTACTCACTAGCTGATCCAACATTTAATTTTTTTGGGGGGAGGGGGTTCAGCCCGAAAGCTTTTTTTTCTTCACAAAAATGACGATAATTACTTTGGAAAAAAATAAAGAAACTAACTATCTATATGAAATGGTGTTTAAGTGATTCCTTAGGTCCTTTTAAATGTAATTACACGAACAATAATAATTTCAGAGATATTTTTTAATATATTTTTCCATAAAACATGCTTATATTTTACCATTTTGGTGGGGGAGAGGGGAGGCTTCAGCCCGAAAGCCCTCCCCCCGTAGACCTACCCGTGATTTAGCGAAGTTTCATTGAAATCGGTACATTCGTTTATTCGCTACAGTCTATAGGAATGGAGGTTTTTCTGCATTTTTATTTATTTTTCCTTTATTAACTTATCAAATTCTTTCAAAAGTTATATTTAGCATTTTTTCGTAACTCTGAATAATGTGAAATGATTAACTTTTTAAAACAAACCATATTAAAGGTACTTTAGACAAAGACGTATATAAACATTGAGCATTTAAGCCCTGTAAAATGACATCAATGAGGATAAGAGCTAATTGATATTAAATACCACTTAATTATACAATGATGCACCGAGTTTAATCATAATCAAAATCGTTAGAGTGGTTTTTGAGAAAATTATAAAAATGTCCATCAGCGTTGATGTAAAGTGACACTTCCGGTTAGCCAATTTCGAGGAAAAAGTTGCTGTTACATCTGAGGCATATACCTATCTTAAATACGTAATATCAGTTTCGTACGACTTTTCATTTTTGAGCTAGACTGCTAACATACAAACACACAGATCATTTTTCGGGACTTGGTCATTTCGACTCAGGGTATCTCAAAACGTGTATTTCCGTTGAAAACTCAGATTCAAAAATTTTCTTGATCGCAATACTTACCCTCACTATATATTATACATATACTCAAGTGAAAGTAAAAAAAGAATCAGTATAGTTGTTTGAAGGAATATAAGAAAGAACAACAGAAATGCTAAACAACCTTACATTTTATTGGGGCAATAAATAGTATTTTGGCGTAGGAAGGGGATGACTTAGAGAGCGTAGTGGACGATGGGGCTGTCGTAGGAGACGTGGGCGACAGCGGGGGCGGCGGAGTAGGCTACTCCGAGGAGGCCGTGAGCGGCGACGGCTGGGGCAGCAAGGGCTGGTGCGGCGTAGGCCCTTGCGGCGTAAGCTGGGGCGGCGAGGGCTGGGGCGTAGGCCTTGGCTACGACTGGAGCGGCGTGGTAAGCGGCGACCGCTGGAGCATGGTAGGTGGAGACGGCTGGAGCGGCAGCGTAGGTAGCGACGGCTGGAGCGTAGGCCTTAGCTACGACTGGAGCGGCGGCGTAGGAGGCGGCGTAAGCGGGGGCGTGGTAGGTGGCGGCCAAGGGGGTGAGGTACCTGGCGTCGTTGGTGATGCGGGTGTCGGTCTTGCGGACGCTGGAGAAGGCGGTGTCCACGGCCTTGGAGTACTGGGAGATGGCGGAGGATCCGTCGGCGGAGCGGAGGGTGGACTGGGAGCTGGAGCCGATGGCGGTGGTGGCCAGTCCGTAGCTGACTGGGGCGATGTAGCCGGCCTGGGCGGCGGCGACGGCGGCGGCGAAGAAGAGGACCTGCGGAGGATGGACATAAATTAGTGGTACATTCAGAGGTGATGAAACTACATTCAAGAGTTGAATAGTCCAGTCAATGAATGATTATAGAAAGAAATGGCAGCGACACAATTTTTGATATAAGTAAATTCTTTATTTTCCAGTTTCCATTTTTATTCCAGTTTTATTTTCTTCTTTTTATTCAGTTTGTTTTCATGTTTTTTGTATATTATATTCTTCTTTTTTTAAGGTTTAACAAGGAACTGTAAAGCCCTAGGCGAGGGATTAGAGGAAAGTCATTATTAACCAAGTAAGAAGGTTCGATCAATGTTACAGCGCGCTCTGTGACAAAACCTCGTACATCCTCGTACGCTTGCTCATTCATAACTTGCACTGTTATAATGCCATTGTTATTGTTTTTTTTTTATAGTAAAATTAGATCAGAATTTTTTATTTTTACCTCCATTCATATATTTTAAAGCCTTTTTACATTACCTTTTTTTAAGTTAATTGGTCAAGCAGTAAAATTAGTTTAATAATATATATAAAAAAGTTTATATATTTTTATAAACTACTGAAAACGTTATATACAAATTAAAATAGCTAAATAAACTTCTTAAAGTACCCTTCATAAGTATTCTTTAGTAGATCCAAGATTTAATTTGGGGGAAAGACTAATTTTTTTTCTTTTTTCTAAAAACAAAATTATTACTTTTATGAAAGGATGTTAGCACTTCTGGAAGGCCAATAAAAATTAATTATTGGGGCATTAATGCTTTTAGAGAAATCCATTATAATATAAAAAATTAATAGATTGTGAGTGTTTCGGTATTTAGCTTACAATTAGATCTCGCACAAAATAAATGTGGATCACTGAAAAAATCCTTTTTTTTTTCATTATTTAAGATGGGTTCATTATAAATACTAATTAATTGTTCAATTAATTACTTTACTCGATTAAAAATCGAAAATATTTTGTTTTAATTACCCTAATAATTTTTAAAAAAAATTAATTTATCTAGAATATATTTATAATTGCAGTTTTATGAAGGAAATAATAATTACGAAGGAAATAATGGATATACTTTCTCGTATTTTATTTTATGCTCGATAAAAATGACGGTAAAAATTTCTGTTTAATTTTCTATTACAACACATTTTAAAAAATATATATTTATAAAAAAAGTTTTATGAAGGAAATAATGGATATCGTTTCTTATACTTTATTTTATACTGAATAAAATCTAAAATATTCTTTTTCTTAAATTTTATTTTCTAGAAATTAAAAAAAAAACATATATATACCATCATGGTTTTATGAAGGAAACAATAATCATACTCTAATTAAAGAAGATATAATTGCAATTTATATCTCTAGAAAGCAACAGAAGTTCAGTATTTCATATCAATATAAAAATAATACAGTCAAAATAATCGTAAAACAATTCTAAACTTCATTCATAAGAATATAACCTTGCATTGCATACGTCAATAGAACTTACGTACGAGGTATAAGGCTGATCTATCCTCGTACCTCGTACATTACGTCATAACCTCGTACAAATACGAGGATCCTCGTACAAACGGCAACACTGGGTTCGATAGGTTATGAGGCTAATTAACATATGTTTTTAAACCCATAGGTTCCGAGTTCGTTGCTCACTCCGCGTCTTAATCTTTTTTTTTTTAATTGAATTTATTTATTTTTATGGTTTTCGCTATTTTGTAAATTCAACAAATTAAATAGCGTGGCGCCTGTTAGACAGTTATTAATATTTAATTGACTCTTTATTAATTTTCTTTTTTTCGAAAACTGCCGTCTCCACTGAGCATCCGGTAACTTTGTTGCGGAAACAATTTTTCCAAATTAAAGACCGTAACACTCTATATCCAACTTTTGTGTTCCGGAAACTGGAATGCACATGGTCACTACCTACAGTGTTAAGGGCCACCTTAAAATAGCGGGAAAGACGTTTTTGAATTTCAATCATTTTTTTAATTAGATGTGTTTTATTATGTATCTTTAGCAAGTTTTTGAGGTACAGACTCGAATCTTTATTTTTCGTTGGATTCTGGAATAACCTTCGTTTCATTTTTTTTTACTTTCCTACCTATACTAGGTAAGGAAAGTATTGCAATCGGGTCAAATTTCCTATATGAGGTTTTCGAAGGATCTATATGTTTCAGAACCTCCTGAGTCCCAAAAACACATTTTTAGCCATTGGTCTGTCTGTGCCAATATTTTCTCGGAAACGACTGAACCGATTTTGTTGCTTCTTTTTTTATTTTGTAGGGTTTTGACTACTGATGCATGTGCCAGAAATTCGGTACTCCATGCGCAATACCTTGCGCGAAAGAAATGAAAAACATGTTTTTCTATAGACTGTTTTTCTGTAGACTGTTCTAACGATCTTGATGAAACTTTCTATTAAATGTTGATGAAAATATAATGTTCTAATCATTGTCCTTTCAATTTTCGTATATAGACTAAATTCCCGAAAAAAAGTTATAAAGAAAAGATAAATGTTGTAGGGCCTAACTCCCTAAGTATTATAAACGCCATTAGCCTGAAAGGTAATGAAATTTCTTACAAATCCATATAAAAATCGTTCATTTTGGATAACTATTAACGAAGTTACAGCTATTCAATTTCCAATGTAATACTACGGGTTCATATCCTGGTGTCAGAAACGGGTGAATAAAGGTGACTAAGAAGAAAGAAAATCTATTGCCCGCATCACACAAGCTTCACTATTTTCTCTACTTTTAACGGAAATTATTGTTTGACAATACTAAGCTATGGCAAAAAGTTTTTGATCAGTAATATTAGAGGATGTTGAAAGTTTGACACTGATCTACCTTAAGCCGTTTTACATTGCTTTAGTTTATCGAACTCAAATCTTTTTCTTTATCAAAATTCAGGAAAATAAATCTAGTTCAATTCTTTTTTGTTTCTTTATGAACATATATAAAGATATAAGAACGTTTATGAAATAGGTAGGAAAGCCGTGTGAGTGGACACACCAGATATTTTGTTTTTCAATTAAAGATATATTTTAATTATATCGATAAAATAAGAAAAATAAAGGATAAAATATCAATGAGATAAACTCGAGAGCATTCCAATTTCAGAAGAATACTTTTTAGAACAATTATTATAGTTCATTATTATTTCGATACATCGAACATTATTTGATATCGATAGGCGTTAGGGCGTGGTTTGTGCAGCGTCCTTGCTCTGATTGGTGGAAACATCACGATCCAAACTGCAGGAATGTTAATCGACCTTCTTCAACTAGAAAGTTTGAATGACAAACGAATATACAAGTCATTCCATAGAGCCCGATGATAAATGAATATATTTTCCAATATACATCATTGAAAGGAATAAACCTCTGACAGACAAATTGCAAACCGTACTAGTTCCGAATCGTTACTCCAACATGGTGGTATTAAGTATTTTTTCAATGAAAAAGCTATCGTCGGAACCCACTTAACCAACTGCCACTCTGCCCTCCATGTACACACTGCCATTCTTGTCTTATCGAAATCGCGGTGAAGTCGGATGGAATCGACTAAATAAATTGATTTTGCATATATCATTTTGAAACTAAACATCAGACCTGCATATTGTAAGCGAAGGAAATGTTCAGGATTTCATCCTCTTTGTAATGAGCTATTATTTATAATTTATATTTCATATTATTAATCTCGTCTTGTTGATGTCTTCACTTCTACCGTGTGGTCTAAAGCACTCACATTATTTTTTTTTCTTTATAAAGAGATACAGAATAGCTGTAATAAAAAACTATTTTATTAATTTTATATAACTAATTTATTACTCACTAGACGACCTATAATGGCTTTTTAAGTATTATTTAAGATCATAGAAATTAAATTTGGTCTGTTTGATTCAGCTAAAACATCGTGAGTGGTTTCATTTTATCGTTATCTACAATCCTTTTATCTACGAAAATTCTCAGAAATGGAGCATTTTATGATTAAATATATTAATTTAATGAAGTACTAAAAAATCCCATAAATACACATCAGTTAAATTCACTGGAGTTGCAATGTATCACTAAATTCCCAGGGTTTAATTTTGGGGGGATCTTCAACCTGAAAACTTTTTACACTTATATATACACATATGTATTATGATAATTATTTCGGATGAAATAAAAAAAAAAAAAAAACTAACTACCTATATTAAATGGTGTTTAAATGATTTAAGGCCTATTTGGACTTACGGAGTTGAGCTATGGGGCTCCACTAAACCATCGAATTCCTCTCGTATCCAATCCTTACAATCCAAAATCCTTCGTAAAATTCTCAATGTTCTCTACTTGGTTACAAATAAAACCATCCATAATGACCTTAATGTTCCTTATGTATCAGATTTGGCCCAATCCAGATACCTATCATTCCATAATAAACTTCATAACCATCCAACCCTCTTTTTTCTAACCTTGCTTGCTATTCAATTCCTGATAACCCTTCGAGGCGTCTGAAAAGAAGATGGCCTCGTGATCTCCTAATATAAACATATTGTTACCGTTCCACCAATGGGTAGTTTCTCAACATGTTTTATGTCATTATATCTATGCACGAATTTACTAGACGTATTTTTTTTATACAGTTATAAATATCACATAAGTAGTAATTGAAAAAAAAGTCCTATTAAATGTAATAAGACGAACAATAATACTTTTAGAGATAACTTTTTTCATAAAATATAGTTATATTTTGCCATTTGGGGAAAGCTCCCCCCTCTAGAACCAACTGTGCTTAAATTGTAAGATAATTTTTTTAAAAAATCGAGAAAAAGTGACAGCTTTGCAATATTTTTGTAGGTCATCTTTTTTCTAGATTTTATAATGTCGATATCTTACACTTAGAGTAAACGCCATATTTCCGAGAATTCGGTTTAACGATAACAATAATATGAAGCCATTCACGAGGTTTAAGGCAATTGTTAATAAACTATTTAAAAATAAAAAGGTCTGTACCGAGGACTGAATAATTATATAAAATATAATATTATACATTATATTTTATTAAATATGATTTATATATATGAAATATAATATTTTAAAATAATTTTTCATGCCCGAAACACGAAATTATTCATATGAATATTAAATAAAAATATTATTCATACGAAATATGAATTTATTAATATTATATCAGCATTTACTTTGATTCAATTCAATTAGTTGAGTTTTTCAAAGGAGAATTATATGAAAAAAAAAAATATTTTATTAGATCACTTACGCAAAAATCGATTACTTATTTTTAACGGTGTCCTCGATCTAATAAAAAATTTCAAAGTAATTATTTAAAATACATACAATTCATTATAATTTTGTTAATATTACGACAGATGTGTAAAATCTAACGGTTTGTCCCGTAATATTACAGTCAATTTGAGAACGTCACTGACTCATTGTGAAGATAATTAAAGGTTTGTCAATGACTCAATCCATTAAATTTACTCATCGAATCCATTATGGCACTCTAAATTACAATGGCCACTAACCGTTTGCGAGCATGAAGTATTCCTACTGAATAAAAATAATAGTAACCTAAGAAAAGTTAAAACATTTTGACTCGTCCATTTTTAATGCCATACATATTGACAATAATAAATGCAACAGATATGTTCTATGTTCTTTTTTTTGAAGGGGAGGGAGTTTAAACAATTTAATGTTTAGAATGTACCAAGGCTTGTAGTTTTATTGTTAGACGAGAAATTAAAAAAAAAAAAATTGAATTGGGGGGGAAGGGCTTTCGGTCTAAAGCCCCCCTCAAAATGGTAAAATATAACCATGTTTTATGGTAAAAAATATAAAATAATTATCTCTTAAAGTATTATTGTTTGTGTAATTATAGTTAATAGGACTTAAACAGAAAAATCATTTTAACACCATTTCATGAAGGTAGTTAGTATCTTTCTTTTTTTTCAAAATAATTATCGTTTTATATATATGAAAAAAATTGCTTGAAGCCCTCCCCTAAAATTAAATCCTGGATCCGCTAGTGATTGGAAGAAATTAAATAATGTATAATAAAGCAGCAACTAAGAAATTTTAGATAGGAATAGAAATTTCAGATCGACTTATTGAGGAATACAAGATTATTTTAACAATTAATATTTTTTAAAAATATATAGCGAATTACATTAGTCTCGAACAAAATATGCGCCTAACGATTCATATTGAATGTAGTAAATTAAATAAATATTAATAATAAAATAACGAAAACTAAAGGAAATAAAATATACAATAGATCACAGGTGATTAAGCCCTTGAAGACCGTATGTGGCAGCCGTGAGATAGAGCTACGGCCTGCAAACATTTTGCGCGATTTATTGATTGATTTATCAATCTAGCGCTAGAACTAATTAATATTTAATTATTTAGATTACGAAAATTTAAAATTATTTGGATTGAAAGAAGAAGCAGAAAAAGTCTTTTTATTTATCAAAGTTACATTAAAGCAATTACAAAATAATATTTTTGGATTTAAAACCGAAAATCAGACGTGCTAAATGGTCTGTTGACCATCAGAGGAGTCTGCGTTTATTAACAAAATTATATTTCAGTCTATTTATATCCAACTAATAAATAAGAAAATAAGAGCAAGTATATTTACAATGTAAAAATTATATAAATATTTTTATTTACAAAAAGAGTGGTACCAAAATTTGCAATTTATTAAATGTTAAATTCTCTGGTGAGAATTATTCTATAGGAGAAAGCAGACTTGCAGTAATTTACCAATGCTATCCAACTGTTCCCATTTATTAAATCTATTATTTGATCCCGAGATAAATTTCTAGATTTTAACCATTTAATTTTAAATTCAGAGACTATCGGACAAGCAGCCGAGAAGTGATAGAGATCTGTTTCGTTTTTATTACTCATGCTACAAATATAAATAGAATTGTGTTGAATATATGTACAATGTGTGTGTTTATTTAGTGAAAAATTAAAATAGGAACAGTAAAATATAAAAAATTGTTGCAGCTCTAATGATAAAAATTTCCCACCTATACAAAAGATCATAGAATAATAAATATATCAACACCAGAGTAGACGCATTAATTAGTTGAATATTGCACACGAAAAAAAATATCACCCGATCACGACTTATTTTTTACATAGTAGCGTTCAGGCGGGTTCACTCAGCCTTGCTAATTTAACTACATTATCAAAATTTTTAGTCTTATAAATATCAGAATTTAGAACAAATAACAGTGATATTATCGTACTATGTACTAATTTTAATCATTTTAGATAAATTTATTTTTTTTTAAATTAATTTATTTTAAAATATTCACTAAATCATTAAACTTATTTTTTTTTTGCTATTTTGAACTGTTATTATGAAAATCAATTTAGTCAACTTGTCTGACCTACTTACGGTAACACTCGCTCGGGCTTCGAGGAATTTGTTTTGAAATCTGTGTTACTTAATTAAGTCTGGAAATATTTACTATATATGAATTTTATATTTTGCAAATAATAAATATATTTATTTAAAAAAATAAATAATTATTAAAAATTTTACTTATTTCCTGATTTAAATAAAAATTGAACTACTACCTATGACAAATAAATATAAACAAACGGTTAAACGAGAATGTTTAATCCCTTTATAGAGGGTTTCTGAGCCCCTAGAGGGGTTTTCGACAACAGAATCTATTCCCAACTGATATAAAATAATACATAATATTCTGCAACTTAAATTAAACCTGTTTCGGAATTTCAGTTTAATTTTGCTTAAAATACTTAGTTTTGGTTCAATATGTTCTTCGGTATTCGTACATTTTGACTGATTTGGTTTATTTTTTTTCAATAATAATTAACTCTTGTAATCGAGCAAAAAAAAAAAAAAAAAATATATCCCCATTCTAAAAATTTGATTTTTACATTATGATGAGAATATCAAAAATAGTGACTTTTAATTGTCTTTGCCATGGTAACGGAAGAATAGGCAAGTTCCTAAACTCATCGATGGAATTCAGCGCATTTCTTTATCGCTTGATTAATAATTTAATCGATAATCCGATGGCTCAGTTGGATATAAATTTATTATATATTATGATTCTATGTATTTATTATTAGTTGATCAATATTATTTTTTATTTTGTTTATTTATTTATTGTATTATAATATATACTTTTTGAGTTATACGCAAATGAAGTTTTCTTCACAATTTTTTTCTTAATTTTTCTGGAAGATGTCCTTATTTTTCGCACCCGAAGAAGATAATATTCAATGGCTCAATTAAAGGATTTAATGGAAAATTACCGAAGATATGGCATACCGACAAAAAAAAAAACTTTGAGGAATATACATATTTTTAAGTCATCAGTTTCATATAGATCATGATTTTTAATGTCAAACGATTAATCTAACTATTTATTCCAGAATATATTATAATTTATTCAAATATATTTTATTCAAAATATTGAATAATCAATTTTATTATTATTTTTCGGTAACGAAGAGGAATGGACACCATCTTAACACACTACCACCGATCTTATAATCGAAACTTTGATACCTGTCATACACTTTTTCTTCCAGCTCAACTTACCTTGAGAGACATGTTGGTTCTTGAAGTGCTGTGGACACTGTGCTGTTGGATAAGTACCTCGGTGTATATATATGGATAGGAAAGGGTTTGGTGGGCTGGGTTCCAAGTGTCGAAACCTTAAGGCAAGGTCGAGACGTCTGGGAGGCCGACGATTATTGGAATTGCTCTGGAAGGAGGGGAAGTCAGGACGGGCGGGCGATGTGAATTAGAGGAAGAAGATGGAAGGACAAGTGGCTGTGGACGAAGAAGATACTCTCACGATATACAATAATTTAGTAGAAGGGTGGATAAATAGAACTAGCATAAATAGTACAAAAAAATATATATATATATATTTCTAAGATTTTAATTTATTTATTTAAATATAGGCCAGTAGAATTAGACCTTGATGGATATAAATGTTAGAAATAATATCCTTTCGGTTTGAAGGCAAATAAGAATACGCCACTCAACAAGTACGTAATTCAAAATCAAAAAATATAGAACTTTTTTTAGTTAGCCATATATAACTCGAACACAATGTTTTTTTGACGAAAAAAAAAGCGCTGCAAATTATTTCACAATGGTTTATTATTTCGAAACAATTATACATCTAAAGTAACATTACCTTTCGAGTTACAAAGAAAAATAAGAAAAAGGTGATTCCAATTATTGGACTAAACTTTTTTTTTTAATCACAAGTAACATGCTAAATAAAAAAAGAATTACTTCAGTAACACATTCAAAATTTAAAAACTAAACCAAGGATATAACATTTGGAGTAGAATATATAAAAATAAAAAAAACGGAGACCATATCTATGCTCCTAATTGTCCGTTTTTAACGATTTTTTTTTTGTTTTTTTAGGAAATTCCATAAAATTTTAATTGACCATATACAATATCGACAAAAAAGTATAAACTTTTCGAGTTATTCGGAATTTAATTTTACCATTCCTCGTAACTTTTTTTCCAGCTTCTTTTCGTTGAAGTATGTTATATAGATAAATTTAAAGGGCGTCGAGAAAATGACTTTTGCGAAGTTTCATTGATATCTGTACATTCGTTTATGAGCTATAGTCTATAGCAATGCAGGTTTTTCGGCCGCCATTTTGAAAGTAAAAGGCGGATGAAGGAGGATCTTGATGAAGGAGGATCATCCTCGGGTGACCTCTGATTTTATATCAAAATTTGAAAAAAATCGGTCCCGTAGTTTCGGAGACGGACGACGGACGGCGGACGGACAAAAACATTTGTCTTCGTTTTTCGAATTCTACGCATCCTGAAACGTGAAACCTCAAATTTTGAGAGGGAGTTAAGTTTTTGAATTTTTTGGTCAGTCACAATGGTTGATTATTGAAAATAATAAACCAAAAATTCCATTTAAAGTATTAAAAATACTAAATTTCGTGTCGAATAAATGCCTAATATTATAAATTCGGTAGAGGATTATGGTCGAAATTCACGGTAGAAAGCGACGTTGCTTAGACGAATTTATCATCAGAATATTAAATATAGTGACTCCGAAGCGTATTTACGAGGGTAAAGACTATGAGAACTCTAGAAATTACTTTTTCGGACCCAGACTCTACACAATAACTAAAAAAAAAATCTGATTAATTGTTGTTTTCACTCGATTACAGCGAAGCTGTATGGAGGCTCTTCAGTTTGTGTTTACAGGTATGTAACTCAGCCAGCTCTCTTGGGTGTTTTAATACATTTTTATTTCAAATCACTGCCACATTATTGAATTAGATGTGTTAAATCTATTTGTTAAAAGGTAAGAAACGAATTGTTGAGCAAACGGCTGGACTGATTTTACTTTCGATGGCTCAAATGAAAACTTTTTTGGTTATTAATTTATAACTACCTATAAATACCTACCTGGCTTCCTAACGAAAATTTCCCTGTTTCAAGATTTTAAAACATGAAATTCTACCTCAAACAAGTACTTAACATTATTAATTCGATTCAGAATTATAGCCAAAATTCCTGTTAGAATTAGAGAAAAACGTATTTTTTACACGAACGTGTGACTCAAATATCCTATATTCTGGATTCAAAACGTCTATCCTTCAGTAAGAATAGGATATTGCTAAACTAGAGAAAAAGCAAATGATAAGTAATGAAATTTATAAACTCGGAAGTTCAATGCATGAAAATATACAAAACTCTGTTGCAGTGTCAATGAGTTTTATTCGTTAATTCAATTAATTAATTAGTTAGTTAATTTAATTAGGTATTAAAAATCATAAGTACCCATTTGTTTTCCTCTTGAATTGTAACATAGTTTGATCACAAAATAAAAAAGTGGCCTGCAAAAATATTGGGCTGTTGAAGGAGGAGGTCACGCCAAATGGTCCAATTTTTTTTAGGACATATTTATTCTTGCTTTTGTGGTCAAATTATCTTACGATTCAAGTCGAAAGTAAATGGTATATACTTAATTAAATAGACAATGATCACCAAAATCCAGATTGAAAATGCTACTATTTTGATAATTTTCGTTAATAAAAAAATGTAGCTTACGCTAAGATTAAGCTATTCACGATGTTTTGAAAGAATGAAAGAAAGACAGTAAATTTTATTCTGGAACATTTAATCCCCTCAAAATAACTACAGTGAACAAGGAAATGACAATTGTCTGGCGATTATGAATGATTAAAAATAAATTAATTAAATGACAATTAAAAATAAATTAATTTACAAAGTTATCTAACGTTAATATTAAAATAAAGAAACATGTAAATTTTTCATAATATTAAAAATAAAGACACTGCAGTAAACATCTGAGCTTGAAGTAGACATATGAATTTAAAGATGATTACGACTACTTACGCTGACGATATAACAATTTTAACAAAACACCATGACCCCAGACTAGCCTCATTAAATTTACAAAATCACTTACTAAATTTACAAAATTGGTATTCAGTTTGGAAAATTAGATTAAATCATGACGAATCACAACATATAACATTTACGCTTCGACGAGACACATGCCCACCAATTTATATCAGCAACAATCAAATTTCTCAGAAGGACACTATACGCTACCTCGGACTAATATTTGACAGAAGGATGACCTGGGGCCCACACGTCAAAATGAAAAGAAAGACTTTGAACAAGCGACTGAAAATACTATACTCACTGTTTTCTAAATTAAACTTGAAAATTAGACAAAAACTAAATACATACACTTACCTGCTCAAACCCATTTGGACACACGCCTCACAGATTTACGGTTCAGCAAAAAAGACTCATTTACAAAAACTACAATCCTTTCAATCTAAAATTTTAAGACTAATAACTGAAGCTCCCTGGTACGTCAACAACAAGACTTTACATACCGATCTAAGACAACCAACCATTGACCAGCACATACATACTCTTTACTCCCGATTTCATCTTAAACTACGCGGACATCACAATGGACTTATCAACGACATGGCCAAGGCTGAAATGCTCATCAGGAGGTGACTAAAAAGGAGTTGGATGAGAGATCTCTTTTCCTGATTTTAGGATGTAAACAGATCAGGGAAGAGGTGCTGCTGGGCTCCATTCTTAGTCATGCCTATCATGCCATTTTCAACTTAACAAATCTGCTAATTGTCACTACCATGACAGGTGCGGATGAAGAATTAAAGACAACAAAAAATAAATAAAAAATAAAACATACATAGATATCTGTAAGATATCGGTATAGTTTAACTGACATCTCTAAAATACAAAATAACTTTATTTTACATATATTCGGAAGAGATTGATTACTGAGGAGATGGGAAAATAAATTATGTTTAAATGAGGATCCTTTAATCCTCATCCTTGAGGATTTCAGCAAAAAAATGTTTTAGAGGGATGTTGATAATTTTATAAATAGAGGTCTGAACCACGGACTCCAGGTATTATGTTTAAAATATAGGTGAAAGTTTGTCACTATCAACATTGGCTCTAAGGTATTTATCATCTACTGGGTAGAGGGGCTTCTTTCGAGCTGAAGACCCTCCCCCAAAATGGTAAAATATAACCAGGTTTTATGAAAAAAATAATCCCTAAAAATACTATTGTTCATCTGATTACATTTAATAGGACTTAAAGAATCACGTAAACACAGTTTGATAGAGGTAGTTTATTCCTTTATTCCGAAGTAATGATCCTAGTAATTACATTTAAAAAAAAATCTTTCGGGCTGCATCCCTCCCCCAAATTTCCAACGGTATTAATTATACACCGTTTTATTAAAAATATTTTGAGAAAATATTTTCCCTTTAAATTTAAATATTAGACAAGTGAAATACATATTCAAAATAAAATTCCTATTGAGAGACTACGAGTCGAATCATCTGGAACATCTAGAGACCTGGGAAGTCCAAGATACTCGCTTTTCCCCTCCGATCACTTCGAAGCTTTATCCTCGTTTGTAGTTTGGGCAGTAGCGTGTTATCAAAAGATTTATTGTGAAAATTTGAAGTGTATACAAAAAGAAGCTCAAGCTGTATTGGGAATGGTTTCATTTGTTTTCAATTTATTATTATCGTACAAGTATCGTAAGACTTTATTTTATCTTAGTGTCTGCATATTATTATATAACCACTGTAGATATTATTTCATTTTGTATTAAGTTAGTTTTCTATTAGATAGCCTATTGTTTATAAATTGTGTAGTTATGTATATACCACTATGCTGAATTAGGATGGCTCTTCCCTTCCTTCCGAAGACAATATTTCCTAGGCACATTCCTTTACCAAATAATCAATAGTCATCGTCCGTCCTACGCATACAATCTCCTACAATTCAAATCATCTATCCACACCCTCTCCACAAGATCTCGTCCTTCTGACCTTTACACTCCTTTCCACAGATCTGCATCATTTAAACATTCCTTCGTTGTCCGTTCCACTGCATTCTGGAATTCCATCCCACTAAAAATCCGCCATACATCATCCTTATCCACCTTTAAAACCCTTTTATTCCAATTCCTCTTCACAATCCAATCAGACGCTGGTTAAATACATACTATGTTATAAGGATTTAACTTTCTTTAGACTTTATTTTTTTCTCTTATTTTTTTATTGTTTTATTCTGTGTTGAACGTGAATTTTCATCACCACTCACTAAGCATTGTGAGTAGATAAAATTTGTTTTCCTTAAGTTCTAATTTGTTATTCATGGAATGTATTTCAGTGAAATGTATTTTATTTCTAATTATCTTCAACATACTTCTCGCTATGTGTATATATATACTTTATTTTATTTTCTCTTCTCCTAATCTTTACGCATAATCACTAAAATATCTTAGGGAACATATGTATATCATTAT